GAAATGCTGGATTTCCAGCAGCTCTGGTGTGTTTGCTGCTTTCAGTTAGGGTCACCCAAGAGCTCTGAAGGAGGACGATTTTCTTCTTCAGATAAGAAGAAAATCTCACTTATGTTTTCATCTTTGTATTCAGCCAAAATCCCATGCAAGTGGTTTTCACTGGCGCGTTTTCCTGCAGAGCTGTGTGCTCTGACCCTCTTGGTTACCTATGGAAAACCAAAAAACCAACCCAAAAGCACAAAAACTCTCAGCTATTGCAACGCGTGCTGATGACTCACCATAATTCAGCCGTTTCTCCATCCAGCTAAGAAGCTCTTTGACATATTTACACCACATTTTGGCATATTCAAGGGCTGCGTCAATGCCACCTTCACATTTTATCAGCATTTCATCTGCCTCCTCAACTGCAAAAATAAAGCCAGATTCAGAATGGCTCGAGCTGACAGGCAAAGGTTTTATCCCCCAAGAGGGATAAAACTGGAGTCTCCTGAATAGTTGGGGCTGAGAAACCCTCAGAAAACAGCCATAAAATAAGTCTTTTATGTTCCATTTCAAACAGTCTCAGCTATAGAACCATTCAAGCTCCCAGCAATTTAGACACATACATCTCCTTCTTCTCACTTTTTATTAATATTTTGATTTTTTTCCTCCAAAATCAGAAGTTAAAGATTTAATTTGGACATTTTGGGGTGACTGTGGGTGTATTGGGGATATGCAATAATTATTCTATTTCCTTGTAGGATTTAAGACAGATCCATCATATTGCAGTGAGCAATTCTTAAATAATTTCAAGTTAAATTCTGTCCCCAAACCCTTAGAAAATGTGTTTTTCTTCATATAAAGTCCTCACAAAGCAAGAAAGAAATGCCTTTATGTTGCATTTTATGATGCCAGCAGCAAGTGCAGAGTAGATGTCACCTTTTAAATTTTATTTCATCGAGTTACCTGTTATATCTGTCTGCACTTGCCTCTCTGAGCTGTTTTTGCTCTCGCAGAAACTTTCACTCAACTGGAGTGGGGGGAAAAAAGAGGAAAATTGTAAAAGAAAATGAGTATTCAAAAGGTTAGAGGATTTTTCAAAATGGTAATCTGCATAAATAAATAAATAATAAAAAGTAGTGGTTTTAGTTATCTAAGAAATCCAATGCAGTTGGAATAACAGCCTCAGATTTGACAAAGCGAGTGTAGCGTGGCATAAAAATAACAAAATAGGGAGGAAACAAACACAGCATTAACACAGAGGGATTAAGGCCAGAAAAGGTTTGCTAAGACTAAAAGCTTCTAGCTCTTGTTTTATCATAAATCTCAAAAGATTTGAAGTTTTTCTTAAATTTTAGCTGCTGGAATAATGCAACTCAATGAGAACACCGCTGCCCAATAAATTCTATCTAACCTATTTCCAGCCCCTTTATTCCAATAAGTGAATGTTAAAAAATTATTTGCTATCTACTCTTAAGTGACATAACCATTTTTTTCAGGTGGTCACCAGAAAAATAATTTGAGTTTCTTTTTATAACAAAGAACTAATTTTTACATACCGGAATGATCTCTCTCTCTGGGGTCAAGTCTATGTTGTCAGTGCCATCCAAATCAATGAATGTATCAATTGTCCTGTTAAAATACGTTATAATACAATATAATCACAATACAATGAGATTGTAACAACCCAGAAAACGAATTCTGTCCCATTTCTTTACATACGTATTTTCAATGGAGATTTCTATGGCATCCAGACTCCGGAAAATCTCACTGTACCGCTTCCTATTTTCAGGTGTTCTCTCTTGACTGTCAAGACCTGCAGTTGGAGAAGAAGTAATTCCACTTGGCCCCAAATTCCTGATATTTATAGCACAGTTGCTAACGATGCAGTGGGATATGGCAGAGCTCTTCCATCCTGGATGGATTTACAGGGAAGTGAGAACTGTGATGGCTTGGCAAAGCATAACACGGTGAGGCCAAAGAGATGAGATTTAAAATAAATATATATATATCAAAAATGGGCCATTTGCAAGTAAATCATCATCAAGGAAAGGATCAGGCTGTTATTGGGAAGTCAGGCCCAGGTAAGCAGCGCACTGCAGGGCTGGGTTGCCCAAGCTCCTTGCACATCTCATGCACGTGTTGCAATATGTTGGTGTAGAGTGAGCATTTCTCAACATGAAGCTTATTTATGGTGATAATCTGCATCCCTTTCAGGCCCTAGTGCAATTTATTGGGAATGCAAAGCATAAAATGCGCATGTCCACATGGATCTTTGGAAGGCCTGAGCAAACTGTGCCAGCAGTGGGATAAATAGCAGGGTGGAAGTGAGCACAGACATTTCACATGGGTTAATCCATGCAGTTAATCTCACTTTCCACTCAGCCGTATGTTGTGGCTGAGGGCAGAAACTAAAATTGACTCAGGTGGAAAGTTACTACAGAAAAGAAAAGAAAAACACACAAAAAAACAAGATAATTTGGCACTTTTGATGTAAGAAGAAAAGTTCATTCTTCTTTGTCCCCTTGACATTCCAGGAAACAGGATGTGGTTGACCTAAATCTAACGTTGCTTCACTGGTAGTTGGGTCTTTGACAGTGAGCAAACACTTGCAAATGTCACTCGGATGGTGCCTGGTGGAAAAGTCAGTTTGTGTCTCATTTAACTCTAGTTACTTCTGGGCCTGCAAAATGCAGATTTTCAAGGCAGGTTTTTTAGGAGCTGTCATGACTTTAGCCTATCAGCTTGAAAATAGAAAAATAATAAAACACTGAGGCCTGAAAGAGGCTGCTGAGGCATCCAGAGTGAGTGGCCTTGCTTGGAGAGCCTTAAAGGGAATTTAAAAGCACCTAAGGAGCTAATAACGACCTTAAATGTACCCACCACATTACTTTTCCTGAGGAGTTATTTTTCATTTCTCTTGTTTACCGTTACTAGAGGCAGAAGGATTGTACAACAGGAAGAAGTGACTCAACTTCGCAGCACTACCAATGGGCAGAATGAAACATGCTGCTTTTGAAAGCTGGACAGCACCATAAGATAAGAACCTCGACTTCTCACACTCTTTTGCTTTATCTTAAGTGAGAAAATATTATATGTATTACTACAGAAGAAGAAAGTTAGAAGAACTCCAAAGAAAACTTTTTGCCTTGCCATATCTGATGCTTTTAAATGCCTTCTCACAAGGTTAAACACACACTCACCCATGGGCAATCCCTTTGCTAGTCAGGAGCAACACCAATTTGTCCTGGTCTATTTAAAAATCTTTCAAGTGGCTTTTTGGCACATACAGACCAGGGCCAAATGGGCAAAGAATAATGCATAAAAGCTGGAAATAAATAGATAAATAAAGCAAGCCACTTAGTAAATGATTTGTCTTCATCTGCCAGACTCAGAGGCCTGAACATAATTTATTTTGATGGGCACATTTATCCCAGATAAGGTCAGATGGTGAAACTAAGACTGAGCCTACCCAAGCACCTAGCAATTTTATCCTAAAGCAAAAAGTTGGCTTGAAAAAAAACAGTATTTTGTTGTCTCTAGGATATACCATGAGCATTATATTCATCTCTGAGTCTGCTTTCAAAAATCTTTGGTCTTGAGGTCAGTAATAATTAGGTTCGAAATATCAGTGTGATACCAAATTAAAACAGTGTATTTTTTGCCTTTGTTTTTCTATTTTGCATCCTCTGCAGGTGATTTTTTTCTATTCTAGGGGCAGAAATCCCCTCGAGCATCGTGGACAGACTTGCATGCTTAAAGAAAAATACCTGTGTGGAAAGATATCTGCTGGCACCAGAGCTGTCCTGCTGTCATGCAAAGCTCTGCCACGTCCTTGGGTCTCAAATGAGCTGAAACAGCCATTTGATCTGCATCTAACTTCCTAAAAATGTTCATTGCTCCTCCTGCTGTTGTGGGGGAGCAAGCAGGCTCCCCCATGGGGGTGTGCAAAGCAGCAAGAATATTTTTAGAAGAAGTTCTTGCTGTGCAGATTAGCAGAAGCATCACTTCCCTATCAGCCAAAGTTGCCATGAAATGAGGGACGTGTCTAAACCCCCGTCTGCTCTTCAGTGCACAAGTAGCACGAGGCTGGCTCAGGGGTTCCCGCTAGCGCCTTCCTCTTTGTGCTCAAATCTCCAGCTTGCAACACAATATTTCAGTTTTTCCACCCTGCTTCCCCACTGGAACTTCATTTCAGCATTTAATCCTCCATAAGTCGTTTTGGATATCCCCATCTGCATAGAAATACTCATGCATTTAAGCAGCAGCTAGAAAAAAACACAGTTTGCTAGGCCACAAATTCAACCAGATATAAAATTAAAGGTGAAAACTCTCAAGTTGTCTTCTACCACCCCTGTCTGAAACCCGAGATCCCTTCCCCTCTGTCACTCCGTTATTTCTCCTATTTTCTTCCTATTTTGATGGAACAAAGGCCCTAGAAAAAAAATAAAACTTGCAAAGCGACCAATTCTTTAGGGGGCCGGAACTGATACTGAGCTGTGCAGTCACCCACAACTGGCAGGAAATAGACTGGCAAGGTTGGATGTCTTAAATAGTAGTACAAAGCAAAAAGGTGCTTAATGAAACACGTCATGGAGGAAAGGAGAATTTCCACTTAATACATCAATTCATTAAAAAAAAAACTGTGCAGACTCCAAATATATCTGAGAAGCCTGACATCATAAATTAAGTACTGGTGCAGTAGTCTGCAAGATAAAAATAATGTAATTATTCTATTTTTTTCCCTAACGGTAGCTGAGCTGTGTCTTTATAGATGGAGGGTTTCCCACATTCGTTTTTTACCTTGATTCATAAACTTTGCATTTTAAGGCCATATATATTAAACTTCTGGCTACTCGTTTCTTCAATATGAAGAATAAGGAAATGTTAGCTGTGGTAAGAAGAACTCACATTGGCAGTGGAGGTCG